TTCTCTCTTGGGTTAGAATGAAGTCGTCTTTTCCTGTTGCAGAGGAACCTCTCATGCCGGAACCGAGCAGAAGATTCGGGGCGGCGATGTGCTCTCTGCAGAGGTGCTGAAGTTGGGGCAGAAGCCGCGTAGAGAGCCCACATGCCGCAAGCCAAAGCTGCACGTCAAGGCAGGGACAGTCCACAGCAGCCCGGCAGCCAGGCCTGTGGGGTGACCGGTACCAGCCAGGCAGCCTCACAGTCACAGCTCCCGCCCAAGAAAGTTCTGCACGTTATGTGAGTTGGCATTTTCTATCTCTGGGAAACAGTGTTATTTCCCTTTGTGCATTGGACCCATTACCTAACAAACGGAACTGAGAGGCCCAGGTTAAGATTGGAGCTAAAAGGATTGCTTCTCTCCAAGCCGTTTGGGGACAAGTTTCCGGAGCATCGACTCGGCTGTCCTCAAGTTCATGTTCCACAACCCCGCAGGGGCAAGCTTCTCCCAGAACAAGCAGCCCACCCTTCACAGAGCAACCCCCTCCTCAGCCTTCACGGCAACCCGAGACACCAGGCTGATGAGCGGAACACACGCCCATGCAAAGCTTAGCCATCTTAATTGTTCCAAGGAGAAATAATTTTTCATAAAAAGAGGGACAGGCTCCCATCTGCCCGGCCGGGGCTTGTCAATCAACTGCAACCGCTGGAAAATAGATTTCTCAAACTTTATATTCTCATTTTGTCCAGCACGGCTCTCTCGGCAGGAAAATCAATATTACAACTTCACACTTAAGATGCTTTGCAGCAGCGGCGTTGCCGGCTGCCGGCCGCCCATTGTCGGAAGCTCCGCATGGCACGGGTACCGAGCTCCCCCTAGCTGCCGCGGCCAGCCCCCGGCCCTCCGGCTGCCAAATCCCAGTGCAGCCCAAAGTTTATTTGGGAAAGTATTTTATCACAAGCAGCAGAAGAGGCAAAGCCCTGGAGAAGGACGATGAAGGGGACGCGGACAAGGCCGGAGCAAGCTCTGTTAGGAGTGAAATGCCAGGCCCCGGGCTAGCTCGCAAAACGACTGGAAAAGCATCCACCTGGGAGCTCCCTCTGTCATCACAGGGCCTGACGTCCCTCCACCTGAGACAACCCACCAGACACCAGAGCTGGCCTTGCCCTGGGTCGGTCCTATCCACCCCCGAGAGCCAGCCTGCCACCTACCACCACCCACCGCAGCAGACCCCAGCCGCCTTGATCCTCTCCGGACCGAACATCACAGAACTGCAGCCACCCGGGGCCTGCCGAGACTGCGTTCCCAAAACCACCCAGGCCAAAGCACAGGGCAGACAGCAGCCTGCTCATCCCCGAAGAGGGAAGGAAGGAGATAGGCATTACAGTCCGGGAGGAAAAAATACACATCCAGCTTTTAAAAATATTAGGGGCTGTTAAAATATGCTCACAGCTATTTTGTCTCAGGTGTGAATTACAAATGAATAAAGTCAGCCTGGCATAGCACCTTCTCATCAGCACGTTTTCTTACTCTCCGTGGCACTGAGCAGCTGACTTACCTCACACTTCTAATGATATGGGGTTCCCTTCTGTGCAGGAGGAGAGAAACTAGACCCCCCAACAGCCACAGAATGATCGAAGAAAAGGAGAGGAAAAAGAGCAGGCCCAAGTCGAGGGAACCATTGTCGGAGGCTGAGATATGCAGACAATTGGTGATGGACTATATTTATAGACACACACGATCCCTGAGCGGTAAGGCAGCTGTGAACACAGCCAGCTCCAGGTCGCACAGCTCCGACAAAATCTCGTTTAAAAGCCAATCCTAGAATTAACAGAGTAGCCTAACTTCTGCCTGGAACCTCGGCTCTCAGGTGGTTGTACAAAATCATGAATTCATTTGTAAAATTGCTAGGCTTCTTCCAAGGGAACTTATTGGTGGGTTGGTGGGGAGGGACCACTTTAATTGGGATTGTGAGATTTACCGAAGACATCACATTTTTCGGCTGCAAGCAAGAATGTTCTAGAAGCCCACTTTCCTCTGCCAGGCCGGTCTGGGCCAGCAAGCAGGACCTTCCCTCTGTCTGTCCAGTGTTCACTTCTTTCCTTTCCTTCTTCTCTCTATTGGCACTGTGTTGTTTTGTGTTTGTTTTTATTAATAGCTGTGTCTGTCCTCTATTTTAAAAGCCATATCTATGTGGGTCAAACATTTTGAAACAGACCAGAAGTCCGGGTCAGTATCCCCAGCTGTCTCCCAAACTCTCACTTGTCTAGCTCACCCCTCCTGGGCTGGCCCTGTCTGTAAACGGAATCAGCTGCCCGGGGTTGGGGACAAAGATGATCCAGGCTGTTTATCTGCTCAGTTATCCCAAGTGGCATCATGCCGTGGGACCTACAGACGCAGCAGCACCCCAGGCCGGAGGGCTGCCACCCCACAATCAGATGGCCTCTTCCCCCATGTGTGATGGAAGCTGTGAACCCCAAGGTGGAGGGAGGCTGTGACAGTGCCCAGTCAGCCGCCCAGGCCCCCAGAGCACCCCAAGCTCATCCGTGCCATGGAAGGCACCTCCTTGGGCAAAGCAGCCAAAAACTGCCTCTTCTCAGCTCCGGCTTCCCATTCCTAAGTGAATCAAATGCCGGGCAGAGAGAAAGGCCAGCTGCTTTGGGGTGATAAATAGGCTTGTCTGGAACTGGTTGGACCACTCTCACTCGTCAAGCCCCAGCCCAAGCCACCACTCCGGTGCCCTTGGAAAGCAGGAGGAATTTCCATGGCCCCTTCTCCTTTCAACCTGCCACTGCCCTGTGTCAGCCGGTTGCCCCTAACAGCATTGTGAGGAGCCAGCCTGGGAGAGAAATGAGGAACAAAACCAAGGATGGGGTGCTGCAAAGCACCCCTGCCTCCTCATGCCCAGCTGCAGCCTGCCCTTGTGGGCAGGCCTTTCTCCTGCTATCCCAGCAATGCCTGGCAGACCTACCTGCTCCTGACCCCTTAGTGAAGACTGCACTGTCTCCCGGCTTCGGTGAGGCAGCCTGGATGGCCAGCAGTGCACCTCCCAACCAGTTCTCCATTCCCCAGCACCCCATCTATCCTTTCTCAAAAACAACCCTTGCACATTACACCAGAGCTAAGTGAAGCAGACTGCCTCTTGGAGGAACTCAGAGCCAGGTAGTAAAGACGTTTTACCCCAAACCCCCAGAACCTAAAGAACAGGGAAAGGGTGGCAGAAAGGTCAGGGCCACCGTTTGGTAAAGGAATGAAGAAGTGTCAACTGCACAAAAAAAAGACCTTTGCAAGCCAGCCTCCAATCGGGTTGCAAAACATTTTCCTTCAAATGCAACCAGCCAGAGTCTTCTTTGATGTTATGTTGGCAAATAATAATAATAATAACAGTAAAAGAGCCCTCCCTTCAAAAAGGCGCCCCACTCCCAAACCGAAGGTCACTTTCATATCTCTCCCCCCAGCTCCGAAAAAATAAATAAATCCCCAAATTCTTACTAACGCATCTGCTGTAACAAAGGAGAGATTCGGCGGCAGCAGAAGCTCCCAACGGAGGGTTTCCATGCCGGGTTTTCAGGGGAGGGGAGAGTCCCCTTATATATTTATTTATTTATTTAAATTTTTTAAAATATAACATAAATATTCGGCTCTCGGCCGCCTGGCAGCCAGTCGCCGGTGACGGCTGGACGCACAGCCCCTTCTCCGGCTCCGCGCGGGCAGCCGGCCCCAGCCGGGCCGGGCGCGCGGAGGACACACAACCTGCCCGAGGTCTCGATGGCAGCCACGGGATGTTTTATTTCTACTGCAATGAAATCTATATATGCATATGCATATACATATATGAGCACCAGCGAGCCAGGCAGGCACCGCGGGAGCAGCACGGCCCGGAGCGGCCCCGCGGGCTGCAGCGCCCGGAGCACCGCGCGCCGATCTCCCCGCGCCGCTGTGCCGGGGCCCCAGGCGGGTGCCTCGCAAACCGGGCACCTGGCCCGCTCACGCTCGCTTTTCCCGGGTGGAAATGCACCCAGCCGGGGCGCTGGAAGCCCTGAGCCCCGGCCCGGCCGCCTGACTCTACCCGCCCCGCCACGGGCTGGCGGTCCACGCGGTTCCCGCGGGTAGCTTTCCACGGCGCCCGTTGTTTATTTGGATAGGGAGATGAGAGAGGCGGCGACGGGAAGATGGATACGAGACGGATGGAGCTCTGGAGCTCTTCCTTTTTTTTACTATTTTACGAGCGCATCCCTCTCTTCCCACTCCTAGCTGACAACCTTTTTTTTTTTTTTTTTTATCCCGTGGCGGGGATTTTTCCTCAGCCCCGATCCCCCCACCTTTTTGGGAGTGGGGGAAAGAAGACAAGATCATCCCAGGAGACAGACGGAGGTGGGGAGACGCAGGGAGGGGGTGCTGGAGGCCAGCAAACAGCCGCGCAGCTGGATTCTTTTGCAAATAGCGCGGAGAGGGGAGGGGAACGGCGGCGGCGGAGCCCTCGGAGCGGCATGGCC